AAAAATGAAAATGTGAAACTAAATCCCTATTCCAATAGAAACATTTACCTACATTTTGCTGCCATTGGAAAGGGGGGGGGCTTCAGTACTCACCGTACCACAAACATGTCAATTTGAAAATATTATTTTGGCAATACATATGGAAGAAAAGAACTATTAAGAATTGTAATAATCATGATATACACGATAGCATAAAATCATTAATTGGTAAGTAAATGAGTATTTGACGACAAAATTTGGATATAAATTTTGTGCTTAATTCTAAGCTGATAGTAATAAGTCTAAATGTCAATGTCTTTATATTCTGAACATTATTTAGCAGTTACTCAAAGTTAGGAATAACAATAGTATTAATCATAGAATAACTGACAGCCTCACTAATCAATATGAAAATGTGTATTCAACAACAAATTTTGATACTGGGATTTAACCCATTTTGGAAAATATAAATGACATTATTGTGTCTTTATTCTCAACAACATTTAGCAGTACTGTACTTGTTAAATGTCATCTTTTAAGAAGAACAATTGCATTAACGATGATATATTTGACAGTCTCACTAATATAATATATATGCAAAATTAGGATACAAATTTAAGCTATTTTGTGAAGTTTATATGATACATATGCCTCTTTACTCAAATTTTAACAACAAAATGTATAACCCTCGTTCATTATATCATTGCATCGAAAGAATGAAACAAAATATATTACTTTTCTATTACATGTCTAATATGCTAATTAATGTTATTAACTTATATAAACAATACTTATTTTTTTTTTAATTATTTTTTGTAAACACTTTTTATACTTGTTCTAATGCAATATTTTCATGTTATATTAATTCGCAGTATTTAAATTTATACTGATTTTTTTAATTTTTTTTATGGTTGTACCTCTGTTATAAAAGATAAATAATAAAGTTACTTAATCTCAAAATTATTTAGCAGTTGTTAGAAGAGATCAGAAGTCGTCACTTAAGAATAACAATTGTATTATTAGTGGTACAGTTTATGCAACAGCACAATATCGATGCGTATAGAACAAAATATTCTGAATATAGATAGCTGTAAGAAATATTTCAAAATTTCCAGTTTGTTAACATTTGCTATTTCAATTTCAATTGACATTTACAATTTTATGGCTCTTTGCAACATTATTTGCTATTTTACATTTTATTTTATTATTTTTATTTTATCTTATACATTCGAAACCTACCGGTCTGAATAAATATCAATCCACATTTCAGATTAATTGTGGGAAAATATAATGACTTTTATTGACATTTTTCACTGGACTATGTGTCTTTCACGGGACCAAATTGTTGTTTATGTACTTCCGCATTCCGTAGTCGTGTCTCATTCATTTTGAGGTTTTATATGGAATGCCAAAGGAGCAACATTTAAACAGACAGTTTGTGGTTTTATATGAAACGCCAAAAGGGCTACGTTCAAAACACAGGTGATTTTCAAGCACACTCTGTTTTCAGGCACAACCAGGTAATAAACACATTCGATTTCCGTCAAGCACGGTTGGTTCTCGGGTTCTCAATGAGTTACACAGTAAAACTTTGCTTTAGCTGCCACTGACCAAAACATGTTATATTGTAGGCCTCCTATTGCAAATCATGTTAATTTTAATTTTAGTGCAAACTAAAAAGTTTTCCAAGGAAAATGATGAAGAGAATAAAAGGTATTTCCCCATACCAATTAACACTACAGTTGTTTAGTCTCATTTCAGTGGTTTATTAAATATTTCTACGTTATGAAAAATGATACTACTATCAAAACCATGCAACCTATCTTTTATAGTGGTCATAATGTAATTTTTAGCGGTAGCTGGAGTTCTAGCAATGTAGTTTGCTAAAAGCTCCCCCATCCAAAATTTCAATTTATTTTATTTTCACTGTAATTGTTGGTCGAAAAAATAAATGAAATGAAATTACTTTTATTAAAACTAATCTTATAAAATTACTCAGAATGCACTAATCTTACTTAAGCATCTTCATTCCACAAATTAATCATATAGGGGATTAGACTATTTTTGAACCATTTATTGCGTATCTTGGGTAAGGAGAGAAGGTTGGCATTACGGAATGTTCTACTACTTTCTTCTCCTCTAGTTCTAGGCAACCAATTACAAAAATCAGGGGAATTCATTAGTTTTTTTAGCAAATTGAAGAGATATTTTATCTCTGCGATTTCTTAAAGTAGTTAATTTGCAATGTTTGCAAATCCTGGCCCTGTTCTTATTGGTAATAATAATAATAATAATAATAATAATAATAATAATAATAATAATAATAATAATAATAATAATAACATGTAGGTTTTTATATAGCGCTCTATACAACTAAGTCCCAGAGTGCTTTTCCACATTATTACTCCACTCAATAATGCCTATAGAGGAAATCCTATAGTTTGCTCCATAAAAAATATTTCAGCGCATTTTGCACTCGAACCTCCTTAGGTACCTACTTATGCTCCTGGGTGGAGAGAAGCAATGCAGACAAAGTGCCTTGCTCAAGGACGCAAGCGAAATGCACAGCGAGGGATTGAAACCCCAACCTTGAGCTTAGGAAACCTAACCGTTCCCGCTGCGCCAAACCACTTCTACAAATTGGTCAGTTGTTAAGTGCGGTTGACACGCCTGAAAGGTTCATTTCAAGATTAAGGGAACAGCTTCCTGAAATGTACTCTGTTAACTTGAACTAATCCACCAATCACTAAAACTCCTGCACATCTCCATCATTGTCTTAAAATAAAAACATGCAAAATAGTGAGGTGTTAAGATACATGACAATACCTTACCTTGATCAAAACTATGTCGCCAGCTTCAACTGCAACATCCGTTCCCGTTCCTATGGCGATGCCAACATCAGCTTGGACAAGTGCGGGAGAGTCGTTCACCCCATCGCCTACCATGGCAACACGCTTACCTGTCGCTTGAATCTCCTTCACTTTCTCAACTTTGTTTTGAGGCAAAACCTCGGCAAACACCTGAGTTATTCCAACCTGTAAAGAGATTCGAATTCGAATAATGATAATCACGACAATGGTAATGATAATGTACAGGTAAAAGGTAGTCGAACATGAGAGTGCTCATCGGTTTCTTTAGCATTCGCACCAGACTGGGAAATGCTGTAAAAGGATAGCCACTCCTCCTTACAGCAAGTGTGTTTAGCTTCCCAGCCTACACTGCTACCCATTTATGCTCCTGGCTAGAAAGAAACAAGCACAGAAAAAGTGTCTTGCTCATGATAGAAGCAACCCCACCAGTGAGGGCATGAACCACCAACCACGAAGTTCAAAGTTCAAGTCGCAACTGCTCCGACAATGACTTCCACTACGACGATAACAATAACAACAAAAAAAATTGACTGCCAGTATTCTCAACTGGCATATCATTTACCTGTTTGGCAATGTTTTCTGCAGTTCTTCTGTTATCGCCTGTTAGTAGAATTATGTCCATACCCATGCCTTTAAGGGTGTGCACTGTCTGAGCAGCTTCCGCCTTCACAGAGTCTGCAACACTCATCATTCCAGCAATCACACCTTTAGTAAGGCAACAAACGTTTCTTGTTTATGTACAGTAGGTACAACCTGCAAAGGACCTAATGATCCATAACCGTAGGGTAACAGGGGGCTGTATGGACCAGTATACCGAGGTATCCCCCTACTTGTCTCAAAAGATGTACTGGGTTCTTTAAAGTGCACATGATCCAACTATGTACACTGAGCCTAAGGTTTATAGTTCTTATCTGAGAAGACTTGTTCCACCCACAGAAACATATGCGAGCATACTGCTCGAACCACCGCCGATATTATGGCTGTAAGTTGCAGCACCCCTGCCTTTAACACTCTAGGTATTAAATTTATTACAGAAAATTTCTATGGCATTTTTTTACCCACTATTAATTCTTCACAACAAGCACATAAATTTATATGTTCATTTATAATTAGTTTATTTCTTACAATGTTCCTATGTCAAAATTTATAGTTATTATGAATAAATTGGTATACAGCATTCCTATCGCATTTTTCACCCATTATTAATTCATCACAACCAGCACATATTTATATATTATTTATAATTAGTTTCATTTTTAATAATGTCCCTATCTCAAACTTCAATTGATAGTTATTATAAATTACAACTGAAGTGTTTTCATATTTCATACTACAATAGGCAATTACAAAATGTATTTGAAGTCCATGAAATTAAACCACTTTTAACACAATATTTCATAAGAAGAAAAAAATTAAATTGTTGTATTGCATAGGTCAGGAAGAGTTCAAATGGTAATCACAGAAAATAAAATTTATGATTAAAGATGTATTTTCCCATAAAAAATTCCCAAAGACATAAAAATCGTTTTTGAAATTAACTTTCTCATTTTGAAATAACATAAAAATAAAACTTACAAATTATTACAGTGAAAAATGATAGAAACACTTCTAGTTATTATTGTTATCATTATCCAGTATAAAAATCAGGGTACACATTTTTTTTAATTCAATAATGTATATGCTCAAGTTAATATTGCAATGTGTGTGTGTGTTACTGCAAAATTAACAAGTTAATTACAAAACATTTTTTTTTTACATCTTTCAGGTATCAAATTGAAGCTTAAAAAGTGCAACTTGTTACTAGGCAGTGTGAAAAGAGTATTTAGTGTTAATAGGTTTAAGATTGTTATTTCTTTCTTTGAAAAAGTAGTCTCGAAATTAAAAGGGTGTTGAATTAATATTAAATGAAAGTCAAAGACTAACCATCGACAGCAACCAGGATAGCTGTTTGACCCATGTTCTCGTGGTATGACATGACCCCATCAATTTCATTTGTGACGACCAAGTTGTTTCTTTTCATCCATTCTCTGTTGCCAATCAATACCTTATAGGTAGTCTTATGTGACTGGGCATTGATATAATTCTTGTCTGAAACTGAATGCAAGTTACCATTATAATTTAGCATTATAATTATGACTAACATGTAAGGTAGCGATGTACTGTTGAATGTCACAGGAAGTTGAGGAGGCAATTGTTGTGGATGTAATGGTTACAATGTATTATTTTTCTGAAGGACGTCTTTGTATTTAATGTTTTGAGTGTCTCTGCTGAATAGTCCTTGTGAGGAATTATTGTGCAGTTTGATCAAGGGTGGATCAAGAATTTTTCAAACAGGGGGTGGGCACAACAGTTTCAGAATAAGTAAGTGAGTAGCACATAACATAGCACTGAAATTTAAAAAATTTAGTGGCAAAACTGGGTGGGCACGTCCTCCCCAACCTTCCATGTGCCCTCCCTGTCCCCTACTAGATCCAAGCCTGTTGTGCATATGCACCGCCTACAATGGAGTAGGGCTACCTTCTTGTACGTGAAAATATAGCAAATATATATACAGTAGGCCTAGCCTAGTTGGGCATGGGAGAAATGTTTCTCTTGAATCAATTAGGTGGATGCATGTAAGGCTAAGTAGTACTGTATGTATCTATATGTACACTAACATTCAAAATTTGAGGTATTCAGACGCGTTTACATAAATTAGAAGTATTCGCTAGAGGGGGGAGGCTAGAGAAAAGAGAGAGGGTAGGCCCTAGCTATAGAACTAAACTAAACCTGAACCTAGGTCTATCTCTCATCATTCATGGGCTAGGCCTGTAGGGGGCTATGCTAGCCCGTTATGATTAGGCCAAGCTTACTGTATATCATGGCTTGTGCCAAGGTGTGTCTTTATTTTTACCTGATCGATTTCTTGCTAAACACCCCAAGGGCGTTTATTTGCATAAATATGTTAGTTAAAGATTTCAATTCTTCTTGAGTGCATGTGTTTGTTGCTAGCAATAGTGTAACAGTAATCCACAATGAAAATCAGTGCTTTGGTAACTAAAATATTTAAGTTGAAAACAACATAACAAACCATGTTTGTCATCCTCGTTTTCTCCGTCTGTGATAACCTCCACCTTGGCAAGGTTGGCATTGTGTTTATTGGCAAGCATTTCACTGATGTTGGTTATCACACATTGCAGACCGTAGCCAGGCTCAGCCTGGAACTCAGAGCACTTGCCTAAAGAATCAGTCATCAAGACCTAAGGAGAGGTTTAGATTACATAATAATGACAAATGATAAATACAATCATTTATGTGATTTAGGTCGGAAATGAGATTTATATTTGTTTTGCATTACATAAAAAGAATGTAAGTAACTCAGCAATTCCAAGGTGGTAGCAATAAAACTCTGTATAAGTTGTAGGGCCAGAGTGAGTTGCACGGATGCAACTAAGCTGAAGGGGCAAAGATGGACTCTGCTGTTGGGCCTAGCTGAGCTGCAGGACTCAACTGAGCTGCAAGGACCTAATGAGCTGCAGGGCCCAACTAAGCTGTAGGTCCCATCTTAACTAGAGGGCATAGTTATGTTGAAGGGACCAACTTTGCTGTAAGGCCCAACAGAGTTGCAGTGCTTGACTGAGCGTGATTGACACACAGGTCCCAGCTGAACCTAACTGTGAATTACGTGCCTTGCCCATGGACACAACCCAAATGCACAGCAAGAGATAAAACTCCCCAGCTTTTGAGATTACAAGCAAGAGCCCCACACAGCGCCAACAGTTCCAACAAATAGTTGTTACCTATACCTATAAATACCTATGTATTTTGCGCTTTACAAATCCAAATTATTATTATTATAGTTACACTTGTCTGCTGATTAATACTTACCTCTTTGGCATGCTTTACAATGGCAATGCCAATAGGGTGCTCACTACTGGCCTCAGCAGATCCTGCTATAGCTACGAACTCATCTACAGTCAACTGAGATTGTTGAAACGTGTGGACTTTCGTCACAACAGGGACACCGTTTGTGATGGTACCAGTTTTGTCAAAGATCACCGTCTCCAACTATAAGAACGATATATAAAATACACAGTCACAATCATTACAAATATCATCATCATTAAAAACCAAATATGATTATGTCATGATCGTCCTCATCATCATCATTAGGTAGTTTTCGCCGCACAACGTTAACCTTAACTTTAACGATAGTACCCATCATGCAACGCAATAAATCGAAATACACATGTGCAAATCCATAAATAACGTACCCTGCAACACAAGATGAATAAAATATGACGTCATCCGTTAACGTTAAGGTTAACATCGTGCGATGAAAACTACCTATTATCAACTATATCTCATCATCATCACACCACAACCCTCATCATCATCATCATCATCATCATTAGCCAATTGGACGACACTGATGTTGATGATCAACAACACCACCATAATCGTTATCATTACCAATGTAATTAAAAGAACACATTCATCAATATCATCATGTGAAACATCTTCAAACTTCACCACTAATCTAACAGCACACAATAAGTTTAATTTAACTATTATTACAGTTGACATTATTATTTAGATTAATGATCAATGAACTAACCTTATGAGCCATTTCTAATGGCTCACCACCCTTGATTAATATACCATTCTGAGCTCCTACTCCAGTCCCTACCATTACTGCCGTAGGGGTGGCCAATCCAAGGGCACACGGACAAGCAATTGCCATTACAGAAATCGCAACTCGGAATGCAAACTGTAGAATTATTTCAGTTTCATTGAAGTCGTGTTCTTCAGCCTGTTAAAGAAAGTTTGATAGATATTTATATGTATACTGCCAGTAAAAAATTTTTTCAACAATATTGTAATCCTTATTGTAGTGCTTGAATCATAACTTACAAAGCAACTGTTTTATGTTGGATTAGATTTACTTGGTGTGAACACCAAGGATACCCTACAAAAGTCTGAAGACATTTTTTCAGTGGGGTCCTTTTAGTAGTGAATAAGACAGTACATCAGAAGACAATCCCTTATTTTTCCAAAAAGTGTACTGCATTTTTTAACATGCACAAGGGTCATCCTGCGCACAGCACCAATAGAATCTCTTCCCAAAGAAGGTGTGACTTTATATACTTGTGTTTCAGCCCCCTGGCTGAAACACAAGAGTAGCGGATAGAATTTAACCCATACCAAAGGTTAACATTGGATCTCCACGGTTCAGCGCATGCACAGTGGCTACCACTAGTTTATCCATCTGAGCTATGCTGCTTTCTCGTGTTTGATTAGTCAGCAATATTTTGATTTCAGTCGGTGTGCGTTTTGCTTAGAAAAACATCTAGTGAATAATAGGAGAGGGGTTAAGCTTTGCAACATAAAAAGAAAAAAAAACAACAAGTAAAAAGTAATAAAATTGAATACTTAGTATATCTCACCTTTTCATATGTTGGTATCTTTGTGATGTCAGAGAAACCGATGGCAATCCACGTGACAAGAGTAATTGTGCTCAAACAAACAATACCTGGCACAAACACGCCAGATATTTTGTCAGCAAATTGTTGAATTGGTGCCTGCAAAACAAAAATTTGAAATTGTATTTATTTTCCTTCCCTTTTCATCCAGGAGCAAGTGACTTGGCTTGCTACCAATAAGTCTTGTTTTCCATAAAATTGCTACACTCTCAGTATTCATTTTAAGGAAATGCTTGTGACTGGGATTGGAAGGCAAAAAAAAAAACTTAACCACCAAGCTACCCTACAGAATAATGATTTAAAGTTTAGCTTCTAATGTTTTGTCCACACTACCAAATTTTATATGACAAATGTGATGTGCCCATATGTGGGCATGATGTCATATTACACCCAAATTTGGACATATCACAGTTATTTTACCATCTAAAATTTAATAGTGTGAAGAGAGCTTTACACTCACTTGAAACCAAAGAAAATATGATAAAACACAACTCAAGAATTAGGTTACCTTTGAGGTCTGAGCATCCTGTACAAGTTTGACAATCTGAGACAAGGTCGTATCCGTGCCAACATGTGTGGCTTCCATCAATAGGGTTCCAGTTTGGTTGATAGATCCACCAATGACAATGCTTCCTAAGATTAAGAAATTTAGAATTCCTAAATGCAACATACAACTACTGCTTTACATCAGTGTATATCACAGTGTACATAATAACCCTTTTCGTTAAAAACTAATTTTCATAACTTTCCTTTCATTCGTCACAGAAAGCTGGACAGAACGTTAGACTGGAAGCCCACATGTTTTACACAAAAATAAAATCCATGACCAAACATATAATGTTCAATTAATTAATGTAGGTGTGTGGTCGTTGCTGGTTGATCCAAGACAAACGAATGAGGGCGACGCTTGTGTGGGGAGGCAGTCAGGTACTAAGACAATCGGACAGTTCTATTTTTGTTGCAGGGTTGTTCTTAAAGGAACAATCGCAATTAGTTGGTTTAATTATTCACAAAATAGACATAAAATCTTAAATTAATTCTTTAAAACCTAAATAATATCTAACCTGGTTTTTTAACCACTGGCATTGATTCTCCAGTAATAAGAGCTTCGTCTGCTGATGACACCCCATCGATGACTTTTCCATCAACCGGCATCTTTGCGCCTGGCACAACCTTAAGGATATCACCACGTTGAACGAGCTCAATGTTGATCTCCCGCTCTGTAAGAATTTGTTTCTCTTTACCAATAGTAACCAGGATGGCCTCAGTTGCTTGCAGTGTCATCAGTTTGGAGAGAGCATCTGAGGTTTTTGCCTATTAACAGAATAATATTCAAGTCTACTTTTTGTTGTTTTTTAAAAAAAAGCTGGAATATTACAAATTCTACAATAAGAATAGTAATATCAATAACAAAAACACCCAAATATTAATAACAATAACAACAACAAAAAATACAAGAACAGCAACAACAATAGTAATAAAATAAATAATACAACTGTACTGTAATAATTTTTTCAGCCATTTAAATGCATAAAATATTGATTTTATGTTCTTTTCTTTATTAATACTATACTATGACATGTTAATACTATTGCACCACTTTTAAAGGGTTAGCATCTTTATTCAACACACTATTTTATCTTTAGAAGGTAAATAACCTTAAATTAATGTTTATGAAATTTATACATTTGGTCATGTGGAAAGCTGTAGAGATTAAAGAAATGTAAGTTCTTTACGATGGATATGAAAATTGTGATGCTGGCGGTACGGATTCCTTATTGATGCATTCAATTGATGGAGGAGGTTTAGTGTAATTACTCTGTCCATTACCAGGATAATCAGGAAAATTGGGGGAATCAGCATTTTTTTCTAATGACTGTTTAAGTAATCAATCAAAAACTGGGCCACAAAAAGCAGAATATATGATGGATTGTTCTATGGGGTAAACGTCTAAATAGCAAAATTTTTTTTCCCATTTTATTTTATTTATTTATTTCTTCCAAGAAGAAATAAATAAAGAAGAATTGCAACTTACAAGTAAAGAGTTCTATGGGGTAAACTTCTAAATAGCAAAATTTTTTTTCCCATTTTATTTTATTTATTTATTTCTTCCAAGAAGAAATAAATAAAGAAGAATTGCAACTTACAGGTAAGAAAAAATGTCAAATATGGTATATAAATATAAACTCAAATGCAAATATATAAAAATATGGAGGAAAAACAGGACAAACAAACAAGATAAAAACAACACCCAGAAAAAACAGCAGGTCAAAGCAAAGGTTCAGAGAGATCTAGCCCGTGAACAAGTGAACGAAATTTGGTGTAACCATGGAAAAAAACATCAACATCAATAGTACGCAAAGATGAACGAATTGTATTGAACGGGCAGTCGGGAAAGAAAACTACGTTAACAGTTATTAACTCAGTTGAAGGGTACAGGAAAAAGAGGACAATTTCTTAAAAAACTTTTAGTACATGTCCAAAGACCAAAAAACAAATTAATAAAAAACAACATCATATCACATATTAGAAACCTACAATTCGGGGGAATACAGATCAAGGATATTTAAATCATTTCATAAAACAACAACAAAATTTTGAGTGAATAACAAGGAAAAATATTAAATAACTTAACTGAATGGAGTTTTAAAAAAAATCATGTCTGGAAACACTGCACGAGGGAGGCATTCCTGATTTTACCCTGAGATATCTTTTAAAAAAAACAATTTCAGCTCCAAACAACCAGATTTGGCCTATATAGTGTACAAGTATAATTTTGTGCTGGAGGAATTTTACAAAAATATTTTTCATGGCCGTAGGCAAAAAAAAATGCTTTTCCAGGCCTGCTCAAAATATGTAGGCATCAAATAAATTGCCAAAATTAATTTTCATCTCTTTCCTAATAATAAATAATGATTTGTCAGGAAACATTTTCCTTCAAATATTTCTGTTAATTTATTAGAAAGTGAGAAGCAATATTACCTGAAACCATTTCAATTTTGGACAAAATTGAAGAAAAATTTCTAGAACAAATTGATCAAAGTCAAATGATTGATTACAAAAAATTATTATATTAAAAATTGCTGCATTGATATTTTGATATAAAAATTAAGGATGAATGATTTAGCTTTCTTATTTAATGGAAAAGATGATTAGCAGACAACAACCAAATTTTATTTACACCATAAAAGTAATAATATAATAATGCAAATATATTATAATCAAGGCAAAATATCAAGCCCATAACCAGACTTATGAGAAGGGGGGTTCCTATAGGCCAAGTTTAACTTGGAAGTGTTTCTTTAATAAGCAAAGTTAAAGTAAAATAGGCCTACTGTTACAGTAGTAAACTAGTCAAAAAGAAATTAAATTAAAATTGATACCTTGGCAATGTGCTCCAACCACCTCCCAAGTGATATGAATACGAGCAGCATTGGCGGGGTGTCAAAGAACACCATTGGGCTTTCATCTTTCTTCATGATCATTGCAACAGCGACAGCAATCACGGAATATGTGTAGGCTATTGTGGTTGCGAGCATAATTAGGACGTCCATGTTGGCAACTTTGTGCTTCAACGATTTGTAGGCTTGGATGTAGAAGGGGCGTCCTGATACAAACTTTGTAGAAAAGAATTAAGAAATTACACATGCATACAAAAATTGATTATTAGTAAACTTGTCAATCTAGCATATATTATTACACTCAATGTTACGTTCTATTTAATATAACCATATATATATCTGTCTCTTATACA